CTAACATCCCTTGTTCTCATGTGGGAATGAGGCCATCTTGTGTAACAGAGGATCCTCTCTTACCTAGTAAGTTCCTTCTCACAGCCTATGGTCATGTCCTTGAGTGGTGTGATCTTATTTTGAATCTCTGGGAAATTTTCTCAAAACTGCCTCAGTTTCATCTATGACCCTTCCATCTATTTCATTGGTCCTTGAAGTACAGTTTCAGAGCTGACCTGAGTCTTACCAGGGCCTTCAATGGAACGGGTATTTCTGTGGAGGACAACACCAGGGGTGCAAGCCCAGCAGGAAGATGAGTGGAGGCACATTTGCCCTGACAGACACAACTGAGACAAAGGAAAGGAAGGCCCTGCATGGTTAGAGAAAATAGAGTGTTGTCATGCTGTATCCCTCACTCTGGGGAATGATGCATCTCTGCACTGCTTCTCATCTCACTGATTTTAAACTGCTGGGCATGCTCTTAGACTTCTTTGGGCTTTATGCTCACTAAGTTCCACATGCTCTCCCACCATTTACTCCACAATCCTATCTCATATTCCATTATAGGTCAACCCAACGTGTCCTTCCTGCCTCATGGAACACAAGATTCTTGCACATTGATGAAGACTGGGTTGAAGTGATCATTTCCTCAGAGGAACTCCCAGCACTGTCAAGGACAGTGGCTTTTATGTTCTCATTGTCAGATGACTGCTTATGAGGACAGGTTAGCTGGAAGCAGAGGGCCTGGAACTTCCAGGAGAGTAATCATGGTAATAACACCTCCAACATAGATCCAGGTCCTGTTGCGTTTGTAAAGGAAGCTGGATCCCTAAGGACTGAGTTTGTAGTTTGAACCCTTGACCTGGTGTTTTCAACATCATGCTAGGTACCTGTGTGTATGCCCAAAAGACCTGGTAGGTGAAATAGATGGGAAAGGAAGGATGAGCAATGAACAGCTCAAGGGACATAAATAACTTGAAAATGCAATTATTTTATATTTGGCAGTCAAAACTTACATCCTTTGTGGTCTGACTCTGCATCCTTTGTGGTCTGACTCTCCACATCACCAAGCTTTGGTCCCCTTTAGGTGAAACAACTTTCTGTGACTTGAAGTAGTTTTCTGTACAATTAGCAAGGCTTCTAGGACTAAAAGGCTGTAGGTCTCCTCTTCCTGAGGAGGTCAGTGGACTTCCAGACTGACTGTGGGAATGTAAGGCCTATCCTGCAAACAGACCTAGATTTCACTGGGCCTATTGGCCACTGCCACCTCCAATTATCCCTGTCCCCACAGTGACATATGACTTATATTGCAGACCCTCAAAATCTATCAGGAACTTCTGACTTTCCTTCATCTCCTAAGAGTCAGGGAGAGATGGGGGGATTCAGATGTTCTGCTATGCCCCAAAACATCCTTGACTTTTTCACAGAGCATCAGTTGACTGTTTTTGTCTCATGGGAAAAAGATTCTGTATTGAAGAAAGCAAGATTTCCCTTTTACCACAGTAGTCTCTCTTCATGGTGTCACTTAAAGTTACAGATGTTTCCGTTTTAGCAACTTTATCTTTACACTCCTTTAAAACAGGCACTTTGAAGTATCATCCTGTTTTTCTCAGTGTAACCTAAACAGTGCTTTTCTTATGGCACCTCCACAGAACCTTGAGTTAGATAGAAGTTCATTTGGTTGACACATTGAGTCCAATAGTGATGAGGCATCCTAATAATGGTTTAGTCTAGGGGCTAGCAGGAGGAGCGGACATTAAGGCATTGGATTTACACTGGCCAAGCACAGTTGAAGTTCTTCACCTGGCAGCTTGAAAATCACACTAGGCACATATGTAGGCATGCACAAATCCTGAGAGGGAAATGAAGGTGAAGGGATTGTAGTGTGGTCATCCTCTTTGGAGGATGATTTCTCACTTTTCCTCTGTCTCTTTTTCTCTCTAGCAAGTGTATGTGCTCTGTGGCAAAAACATAAAAACAAAACAAACACAAAAGGTTTATTCTATTGTGTAAAACAACGGGCAACTCTGTGCCAGCAACAGGAATCAATAACTGGAATTTCAGCTCTTTGTCCACCTGAGAACTCTCAAGAATCTTGCAAAGGTTTCCCCATTCTCATCAAACTGTAGGTAAAATTCCCACTTCCTCTCTTGTAAGAGGATAGCAGAAATAGAGTTTATCTTAGTGAGAGAAAGAGAAGAATCATATCTAAAGTTTATCAGAGAGAGGACACACAATCGTTCATCACACTGGTATGGTTAACCTAGATAACTTACTGAATTTCTGCAGCTAGTTGTCCAGGGAGTAGGCAGTAGCCTCCAATGTAGAGAATTTCTCTTTGGGATCTCTGTACTGCTGTTCACTCACTGTTGGTTGAGAATGCAATTGCTGACAAACCTCTAAGGCATTCATTTCTTGCCTGGGATCAAACAAAAGGCTGACGGATCCTGTCATGCTGCTCATTGAGACAAAAGAGACACAGTAGGGACTGGAGAAAAGAAACCCAGATGAATGCGTTAATAAAAGAAAAATGTATTTCATTTTGGCTTCATTTGGAATGATGGATGAAAATAACTGTCAACAATATCTTATGGTTGTGAGTAAGTTGAGCAATACTCCACAGGACTGGAAAGCATTTTACCAAAACATGTTTAAGAATTAAAGCTCAGAGCTGAGACTCTCCTCTGGCTCAGTTGCCAACAGGAGTGAAGGACGTTGGGCTCAGGGTGCCAGGTAATAACTTGCAGTTGCCATAACAGAATCAGAATATTGGTGATGTCATGGGATGCTAGGAGCCCCTGCCTTCTGATCTCCTAGGCCATGCTGATTACAGGGCCACCTAGTCTCTCCTCAAGGTCAGCACTGATAGGAGCCCAACCTCAGTAGCTTCCAGCAGTAATAGTCACATATGTATTACCTTTTGGTCATCCTGCAAACCTACGTCTTTCCCAAAATATCTCAGTCTGATTTTGTTTTGTTTTGTTTTGTTTTTATTTTTGTTTTTCTTTTTTGCCTCATTCTTTTTTTTTACATTTTTTTTTCATTTTATTTTCTTCCATACATTCAATCACATTATTATTTGTCTTATAAAATGGATATTTCAACAGGTGAAATATTTCTCCCTAGTACTGTTGATAAAACTACGAAATATCTTCAACAGATAATACCACACCTCTTTGTGCCATTAATGCTTTGTCTCCTTGCCCCTCCCCCAAATGTCCTTCCTCAGACCCTCCTCTTTCACACACACCATATCTGGTATTTGCCTCATTCTTATGTGTGTATAAAATAACCAAAGTGATGGGAGCAGCAGTTAGTGTAATGGCTATATTGCCAGACTCCCACATAGTCGACTGCGGTTCAAGTCCCGGACCTGGTGGCTTAAACTCACTCCAGGCATGTGTGCGTGCGTGCGTGCCCAAGATCCCTAGAGGAGAATGGTGGAGAAGGCATTGTGGAGTTGCCATCTCCCCTGGGGGGTGATTTCTCACTTTCTGTCAATCTATCTTTCTGGAGAGTGCATGTGCCCTAACAAAAACCTCTCAAAAAAAAAAAAAGTTAAAAAAAAATAAATAAAATAACCAAGGTGAAAATAAGTTCTTAAGTTTTAATTTCTTAATGGCTATCGAGGAGTCACTCTGCAATGTTTTGAACTCTCAATAGGGCTCACTCCTTTTGCTCTGGTGAAAACAGTACCTTTGTAATGTAGGAAGTAAGCAACTTATTTATGAATTCCTTCTTTGTGTCTGGTCCTACTTTTAAGTATATTTAAAAATTATGGGGAAAAGCAATATGTAATACTAAATTAAATAACATTTACTAAAAAATGATTCTGTCCTAATATCTCAATATTCTCACTGACTTCCATTCCTAAGTTTGCCTCGTTTTTACTTGCTGGGCAGATTTTGACTTTTTATTCATCTAAACTATGTTGGACAACACTACCTCCTTAGGTCCTCTTCAACTCTGGGTTACTTTCATGTGTGTGTGTGTGTGTGTGTGTGTGCGTGTGTGAAAACACTGTATTTCTGTGGGACATGTTCAGAGAGAGAACCTGAGGTGTGGGGACATGCTCTGAGCAAACACCACCTGTCCTTTTGAGCTTTGGAAGAACCTCTTAACTTGTGCTTTCCTTGACTCTTGCTGCAGACAGAGCAAGGATGGAAATTGCTAGGGGCATTCCAACAGACACATCTGATGGACTTTAAGAAACATCTTGATCCAAATTAGCAAGGTCCAATCTCTGCTCTGCACCTGAGGTGTGGGGACATGCTCTGAGCAAACACCACCTGTCCTTTTGAGCTTTGGAAGAACCTCTTAACTTGTGCTTTCCTTGACTCTTGCTGCAGACAGAGCAAGGATGGAAATTGCTAGGGGCATTCCAACAGACACATCTGATGGACTTTAAGAAACATCTTGATCCAAATTAGCAAGGTCCAATCTCTGCTCTGCATCTCAAAGGTTCTTTAGCTTTCTCTGGGTGGGTTAGTGCACTCCTTATAGAGAAGTTCTTTAGCCTTCTTCCCCACACCTGTGGGAGGCTGTGCACCAGTGAGTCTGCTGAGGCAGTAGTGTTATAGGGTGGTGGCCATTTTTTGAAGGGTGACCATTTCAGGTTATTATATTTGTCAGCCTCGGCCTCTAGGATTTCCTTCTCTGAACTAGTTCATGACTCATTTTTCTTTGGCTCTTATAGAGCCCTAAGGTTATTTTTCTTTTTTAGTTTTTTGGATTTTTTGGGTTTTGTCTCGCCTTCAGGGTTTTTAACTTCTTCCTCACTATCTAGGGAAATAAGATCCTCTCCCTGTTCTTTTTTAATTTTAGAATCCTTGGTTAGATTGACCATAGTGGCAAGGGATTCTTTTAAGTTGTGAATGAATAGTTCATGCTGACAAAGCTCTTGTCCCATTATTACCCTTATTACTTATGAGTAAGCAACCTTTGTTACTTACCAGGATGATTCTCTGCCGTCCCCTTCTGGATGATTCTCTGTCATCCCCTTCTGGACGATTCTCTGCTGTCCTCTTCCATTTTCCTCTGCGGCCTTTCTTGGGACGATTCTCTGACGTCCCCTTCTCAGGTGCTCTTCACTGGATCCTTCATACTCAGGTCCCTGTTTGGGCGCCACGTGTTCTGACCCACAGGACAACTGAACAGATTTCCTGAGGGAAGGAGTGAGAGACAGGATGAATGGCGCAATGTTGCAGCACAGGGATGACACAGTGTTACAACTCTTCAGGGTCATCCGTTTATTGTGGGCCAGGGATCGTGGTTATATACATGTTGGTCGGCAGTGATTGGTTATTAAAAGATGGGTTATGATTGGTTGCTTTTGTGGACCAATCATGAGGTACTAGATATGCAAATATGAGGGATTCTAGTGGCCAATCAGAGTATAGTTTTGAAGGTGATGTTTTGAAGGGGAGCCAGTCATGGCCTTTGTCATTGTGTAATTGTTTGCTCTCTGAGCCTAAGATGGCAATAGTAAGAGACTCATGAAAATGGCCTCAGCAGACTCACTGGTTCGCAGCCTCCCATACACATCTACATCTAGACTTCTCTGCATTAGAAAGGAAGATAATGGGACTTTGTCTTGATGGGATTAACACCAAGGGATACACCTGGCCCAGTATGACTAAGCCCTTATAGATTTGTTAACTGCTTCTTATTGTCTGTAACCTGGCAAGGAATCTATGAAGTGTTATGAAACATACACATGTAATGTCTCCTTGTACTATAAATAAAGAGCCCCAGTTTGTCTGGGTGGCTCAAGCAGCAGCAAAAGTTGCTTGGGCTACCTAGGCTCAGGTTGCTTGTTTCCATTTCTACCCTATGTCTTTGTCTCATTCTTTCCAATTCCCCGGTCCTCTCAAGATGGAGGGCTTTCTCTTTCTTGTCCTCTTTCTTTTCCTCACCAGCAACCTTCTGATCATGATTCAGCTAGACCCAAACCCCGGGGCAGACGCTGACATATTTCGAACCAAACTTGACTATGTGGGAATACAGTGATATAACCATTTTTCCATCTGTTGGTCCCAGTGATGCTATTTTTTTCACAATTCAATTCAGGTCACTCGCATATCAAATAGATCAAGGACCAGGTGTGTAGGGACATGATTCAAAAGAGGCCCTTAGTGAGGTGTGGGGACATGTTCTGAACAAACACTATCTGTCCACCTTTGGGCCATGGCAGAACCTTGCAACTTGTCCCTTCCTTAACCCTCACTGCAGTCAGAGCAAAGTCTTGAAATTGCTAGGGGGCATTCCAACAGACTCACCTGATTGAATTTAGGAAACATCTTGACTCCCAATTAGCAAAATTCAATCCCCACTATGCCTCCATAAGATATTTTGTCCTTTTCTGGGCACGATGGTGCCTGCCTTATGGTGATTTAGCTTATTTTCTTCCTCTACATCTGCAACTGGACTTCTCTCCATTCGAAAAGAAGATATTGGGATTTCCCCTTAACAGAATTATCACCAAGGGATTCACCTGGCCCAGTATGTCTAAGCCCTTATAGATTTGTTACCTGCTTCTTAATGTCTGTAACACATCAACATACCTACAGGATGTCATGAAACACACATATATAATGTTGGTTTGTCCTGTAAGTATAGGAGCCTAGTTTGTCTGGGTGGCACAGGTTGCTTGGGCTACATAGGCTCAGGCTGCCTATGTCCATTGCTACTCTGTCTCTCTGTCTCATTCTTTCTGTTTCCTCTTTAGACCAAGTCAACCCGGGTGAAGATGCTGACAAGGAGCAATTTATTTGTGGAATGTTGCTTCACACATTAATCTGAGTTGATCTTATACCGATCAATAGAGGTTGTATTCCATGAATAGAATATGATATGTGAAACAAAAACTTTAATTTCCATTTTTCCCCCCAAGGTATATTTGCAAGTTTCAAGATGGTTTAAGAGTTTTTAAATACAGATTGGCCATTTATTGTTATTTCTTATTATTTTGTGATTTTAAATTTTATATAGATCTAATCTACTAAAACATCTTGCTGGTTATTATTATCTGTATATATGAAAGATACTGATTGCTATATAATTTTTTAAAATAATAATGCCACCAGGCAAGCTGGGGGGCATAGTAGTTAAGGTGTTTGGATCTCTCATGACCAACTGTATGGTTCGAGTCCTGGACCTAATGGCTTGGTAAACACACCAGATGTGTGTGCATGTGAACCCAAAATCCTAAAAGGAAAAGGGAGAAGAGACTGAGGCATGGTCATTCCATCTGGGGGTTATTTTCTCACTATCCCTTTTTCTCTCTCTCTCTTTCTCTCCAGTGAGTACACATGCCTTATGTTAAATCTAAAAAGAAATTTGGATTTTTCTTATTTATATATTTTGAGTTGTTTCTTGGGTTTTTCAAAGCATACCATCATATCACTTTCAATAAGGATAGTTTTGCATATCTTTTATATTTTGTTATTAATATTAATTATTAGTTATACATTTAATCGCTATACATAATTTAGATTGGTAGAGACTTTACCCAGGGTGACACAAACCTCAGACTAGCCCAGTTGAGAACATACGCATGTCCTCATCATACAAATGTCTTACTTTCCATTTTATCCCCAAATTTCCTTTCCTATGCTCTTCCCCCGTACTCTTTCCACTTTGGCTCTAGTATCCATAACAATTTTTAATGCTTGTATATCCTCCAGTCTTT